TGTACTCAGTCCAGTGCAACAGTATATTTATCTCGGTCGTGGTGGGTCAGCTTATTGGCAAGTATTTTTTGAAGTGGAGGCAAATTATTTATATTGTTTTTCAGAAAGTAGAAAACCCTTGGTAATAATAAAATTCAAAATATAGTTAAAAATACGTATTCCAGGTAATACTGACAGGTTTTATTGTTATTAATAAAAATAAATTTACATACAAAAATATAATAAAATAAGCCTTTTGTGTAAAATCAGTTTATTATTTGTAATTTTGCTGCCAATTCAAGTCTTTTTTTAAAAAACTAATGTGTGTTTTAAGCATTTTTGGTTTTTGAAACGTCACTTCCGGTCAAGATGGCCGCCGCTTCAAGTCGTCACATAAATGCCTCTCTATAACCTTTTCAAATATTTTTTTCGAGTGGCTCCATATCCAGAAAGGTTCTAGATGGTCAAGTCTTCCTCTACACCAATTCTGGTGCTTTAATCACGAAATGCACAATTTTGACAAAATTGAACACATATCCGCCTAACTAATAACTGAAGAAAATGGTTCATCTACATGTCTAGCTAAATTTCTATATGAATTTACAGTATGCTGTACGAACAATAATTTAGAATATTAATTCATTTCCCTAGTTAATTAACAAAATATGACTGCTATAAGTGTTTACGAAGTACACAAATCATATAGAATGCTTTAACGTATACAGACAAAAGAAAACTTATAAAGCGTGCCTTTCCTTAATTTTCTTTTGTTTTACCTTAACCTATTCGTAGAGCCTTGTGCATGCACTTGATCATTCACTGCATGATCTGCATCGCCTTGTTCTGCCTACATGCATGGAGCTTTGAATTCCTTAATGAGTTGTGGGTGTAAGTATGATCACATTTTTTTGAAATCCTTACAAATTTGAACTAAGTCAGTTAATTACCTCGAACGTCGGTTTCTTAGCGAGATACATCCCTCGGGAGCGTTGCCCTCAGAAAGCATCCCTCGGGCCTACGGCCCTCGGGATGCTTTTCTTCGGGACACGCCCCTCGGGTTGTATCTCGCTAAGAAACCTCGTTCTCGGTAATTAACTCTTACTGGGCAGGCATATTTTCCACCGTGGCCAGGTGGTGTATATATATATATATATACACTCAGAGTAACATTACACTTGTAAGCATCTTATTCACCTGAGTACATTACACCAACACAGCAAATATCATGATTATTAGATTACACTGATATCGAAGGAACTTGACTCAGTTCCGAAATATCGCATACTAGAACCGACTTGACCGCGTAGCTCAAATGGCAGAGCATTGGGTTAGTATTCAAAAGGTCGTAGGTTCGATTCCCTCCGTGACCAGGCATATTTTTCAAGCCTGTCCGGTGTGCATATACACTCAGAGTAACATCACAAGCATCTTATTCACCTGAGTACACTACACCAACACAGCAAATAACATTTATTTATGCCACCTGCATGATCAGATGATCTGTTTAATAATATATGTAACAACCTTTGGGCTAATATATATTTGACATATACACTCCGGCAAGGATTTGATGGTTTTTGGAATTATTACCCATTTCACTGATTCACTCCAATGAGCCCAATTTTCAGCACTTTGTTAAATGTTATCTTGCCTAATGCCGGACAATTTTATTTGTCAAGGGAAGTGTCTAGCTAGACTCTGCCCATGTTTCATGTTGATATATTTAGATACAATTTTCCCTAACACTACCTACTTTAAGTACTTTGATATTCAACTCTGACATGTCATGCTAGACAATTTTGATTATCGACTGTGGACTACTTGCCCATATTTCACCTATTAACACCTAAGGAGCAATTTCTTCTTATGTTACATACTTTAAGTTCTTTGTAGGGGTGTGCAGGGTAGAGTCTTTTTGCCCTCCAGCCAGATATGTTGGATAGTTGAGGATATGTTGGATAGTTGAAAAATATCCCTGGAGCCAGATTCAGGGTATTATTCAAATATATAAGGTTCAGGCCTCATCTAAGGTTAATTTAAGTAATCATTTTAATTGGTTAAAAAGTGATGGTGTTTATAAAATTTTGATTTGAAATAATAGGAAAGAACTTCACAGTCTAACACTAGTAAACATGCATCATTGGTAGCAAAAGCCTCACTTGTATTAGTTCAAAGGTCAAATCTGCATTTGCAAACAAGCGTATAAAATCTTGAAAATAGTGTTTACAAGCATTCCTGTTATCTATCATTGAATAAAAATGTGATAACCACCCCCTGCTTTTTTAACCTAGTGATCATGAAATCATCTAACCTAATCAAATCATCTAACCTAATCAAATAATCTAACCTAATCAAATCATCTAACCTGCAGTAACTGTAAATCTTGAAGGCCTGAACCTTATGTAAATAATACCCAGTATTGGGTGGCCATGTCACAGAAAATGAAGTAAAATCTCAATATCTGGCCAGATATGATATCCACTGCATCCCTAGTTATTTGTTATGTTTCTTTGTCTTGAAATGCCAAACGACTTTACTTGTTAAGGGGAGAGTGTTGGTATGACTTTACAGTATATTCGTATTCAACATACTTATTTAATATATGCACCATTTGTACCCTTTTATAGTTAACCCTCAGATGTATAATGGCTTCCCTTCTACATGCACTGGGAAACCGGCAGACCCACCAAATCAAGACAGGCAAGAAAGGAGACCGGCAGACCCACCAAAACAAGACAGGCAAGCATGTAAGTTTACTGATATTTTTCTTAAGTTAACACATTGCGCCCTGATGCGCCCTGCTTTATTATTTTCCCCGAGCCGACGGCGCGAAGCGCCGTGCGAGGGTACTAATTCCCCCCGGCTATTTACACCCGGGGAAGGGAAGCATTAGCGAAGTCTAAAGTTCATCAAATATCGCGGGCGTGGGTCACTGTGCGTGTTTCGGTGGGTGGTCATCCTCACTGATCTCATAATATAGCGGACTGTAATGAATAGCCAACGCTGATTGGTCCAATTTAAAATTGGCATTATAACGGCTGCATGACGATTGACGACAGCGAAATTGATTTGATGATTTCTTGCAAATATATTTCATTTTTGCAAGATTTTGTAAATTGCAAAGGATTTTTGATGAAATAAAGGCAAGAGGATTGCTAAAAGAAGGAAGTAAAGGTGCCGGCGTTAATGAAGGTACGTTTGTTTTAAATATTGATGCATTGTTTGCTTTTAATATACTGTAATCTCGATCGGCTGTAATTACTTTAAAAGCCGATCGTTGCGTATATAAAATATGAAACAAGACAGCGTATTATTTCAGTGTTTCTTTATTGATTACACTTTTTCTTATGCTAAGCAAAGTTATTTACATGGGAGAATTTGGAATCATTTTATTTCGAACTCAAAGTTTATCGATAAAGGCAGTTTAGTTCTATATTAAAAGAACACTTTCAAACGTTTTGCGAAGCGTTTGTGATTGAATGTTACCTTAAATTCAAGCTTATATTACGTATAATAACATACCTACTGTAATTACTTTAAAAGCCGATCGTTGTGTATAAATATGAATTAAACAAGACAGCGTATTATTTCAGTGTTTCTTTATTGATTACACTTTTTATTATACTAAGCAAAGTTATTTGCATGGGAGAATTTGGAATCATTTTATTTCGAACTCAAAGTTTATCGATAAAGGCACATTTAAGGCAGTTTAGTTCTATAGTAAAAGAACATTTTAAAACGTTTTGCGAAGCGTTTGTGGTTGAATTTTACCTTAAATTCAAGCTTATATTACGTATAATAACATACCTAACATATATATGTTTAGCAAATTGATAATTTTGTAATTAAAAGTGATATTTATAGGGGATTTTTCATTTGTAAAAACATTCTTAAAAAATTATCGTGTTACCATGACAACTACTTAAAATACTTCACGTTCGGAAAATAAAATGGTTTTGTCAGCAAGGCGAGGGTTTCTGCATGCATGTATTTTCTAGTACTCTGTCTAATGCCAAACGATTTACTCATCAAGGGGAGAGCTCTGGTGCGTAATGGTTAACTGGCCTATCTGCCCATGTGTCTAGTTAATCCATTGAGTTGCATTGCACCTATGCGCCCTGCTTTATTATTTTACTATGTCTACTGACAGACAATATACTCGTTAAGGGGAGAGCTCTGGCATTTAATAGGTACAGTAACTTAACTGGCCTTTCTGCCCATATGTCTAATAATCTAGTTAATCCATTCAGTTGAATTGTGCCAATGCGCCCTGCTTTAAGTATTATTTTACTGTGTCTAACGATTTAGTCGTATGACATGTGGACAGTGACTGACTGAAACAGTACAGGTTTGACTGCAGTCACTGACAAGAAGAAAATTCAGATCTTACAATGTATATTAATTTTACTGTATTATAAACCATATCATTTCTTTTATTAGTCCATGGTGACAGCAAATGCTTTAACTGAGGTGGATAGGCCCAAGAATTTTCCGAAATTAACTAAGAATGCAAGAAAAAGATCCAATGTGAACTGGAGAAGCAGGAGAACTGTTAAGAGAACACAAACATACAGTATTTGTTTTTAATATTTTAGTAATGATATTATATGCATTTCTTAATTTTAATCTTTGGTCTTGTCCCTGCATGGTGTTACTGGTAACCCACCCCTGATTTTTTATTTCTGTATGCTTTTAGTTGAGTAATGCATATACAGGGTGTATCAAAATATGTCCCAAATGGATAATTTCCTCGAAATCACACAAAATTTGGGATGTTTTGCTAACCGAGAGTAAATATACGTATATTGTAATTAAGTTTTTATTATTTTGTAATTTGTATATTTCGAATAAACTAGTGTCTGATGTGGTACATCAAACCTGCATAGCACGTAACTTTCTTATTTAGGTAGATTTTTCTGAGGGGCAGTTTATATGATCCCGCTTACACAAGATTAAACGAAGCATGCAATGATTTTGAGATATTGAAATAAGTCATTTGTTAATGATAAGGAAAAATAACATGATCCAGGTGGCTTTGGATTTTGTTCTGTAGAAAAATCAAATGGGCAAAATGTAATTGTTGAGTACTAATTCTTTCGAATATATTTTTTTGCATTGATCTATATTTAGTCTGTTGTTAGCATGTGCTTGTCTGGTTTCATAAGGACTTATTTCAATACCTCAAAGCCATTGCTCGCTTCGTTTAATCTCGGGTGGGATCACATAAACTTCCCTGACTCGCTTAATTTCAATGCATAAAACTTAATATTTTAACATTTGAAACATGTGAGAATTTCATACATGAAATCTTAATGTGGAATTTCATATATGAAATATTTGATATATGAAATCTTTATGTGGAATTGAAACAATTTCATATATGAAAATTTCATATGTAAAATATTTCATATATGAAATCTTTATATGTGGAATTGAAACAATTTCATATATGAAAATTTCCTTATATATTGTTGCATAGTCTTGTATAATGTTGTATAGTGTTGTATATTGTCGTATAGCCTTTATATATATTGTTGTATAGTCTTGTATAACGTTATATAGTGTTTTATAGTGTCGTATATAGCCTTGTATATTGTTGTGTAGTGTCGTATAGTGTTGTATACTCTTGTATAGTGTCGTATAGCCTTATATACACTGTAAATTAAAAAGGGCCAAATCGACCCCAAATTCCGTTTCAGCCCTTTTGGGGCCAAAGCTGTTTTGGCCCTATGTGAAAGCCATTTTGGCATTGGAGAGCTGGATCTGCACCGACGGGGCCATTTTGGGTATGGAGGAAAGCCAAATTGGCCCTACCCTTTGCCGTAACGGACCCATCATTTTCCAATTTAACCCCATCAATTGCCAATATGGCCCCACAGACCAAAATGACTCTCACGTCCGGGTTTGTTTTGGCCCCACATAAAGGGGCCGCTTTTGATCAACACTTTGGCCCCTATGAGCTTCGTTTCGGCTCTCCATCGCGGAACGACTCTCGCATAGGTCAAATCGACCCTGGAATGAAATCGACCCTTTTGTCGAAACGACCCTTTTGTCAAATCGACTCTTAATTGTATCAAATCGACCCTTCTGTCAAATCGACTCTTAAATGTGTCAAATCGACCCTTCTGTCAAATCGAGTCTTATATAATTGTGTCATATCGACCCTTTAGTCAAATCGACTCTTAAATGTGTCAAATCAACCCTTCTGTCAAATCGACTCATAAATGTGTCAAATCGACTCTTCTGTCAAACCGACTCTTAATTGTGTCAAATCGACTATTAATATTGTGTCAAATCGACCCTTCCGTCAAATCGACAGTCTTAATTCTGTCAAATCGACCCTTCTGTCAAATCGACTCTTAATCGGTGTCGATCGTCCGTCGTATGATCGTATCAAATTAACTTCCGCATAAAACTTAAAGAATGCACATGCTCGCAAAGAAAAAGAAGAGGACGTTTTTTGGATTATACAAGGTGAGATTTGATGTTTCATTTTGTAGGGTATTGAAATTTGTTTTCCAGATTTTTAGTAATTTTATCGTAAATATAAATACGGTATTTGTAAAAATTAATTACGAGAATTGAACGTGTAATCATAGAATAAGGCCTAGGTGTAATATTAATGATCGCGGGAACTGGGAACGAGAATGCACGCGCCCGTAAGCAATCGGGTTTGCGATCATTCTCGAGCATGCGTACTAACTTTTGGCGCCATTATCGAACGTTGGCCGTTGGGATTTGCTTCGACGAGGGATACGGATAAAATACAAGCGTAAAACCTCGTTCGTTGCAGTATATTTTGGACAAATAAACAATTTATTAGGAAAATACGTTCAAGAAATGTCTCGTGCTGTACTAGCCTAATTCTGGCAAATGTTATTTACTTTCTTCACCTTCGTGTCAACGACTGTTGTTTGCTGATGGCCAAATCACGACAGCGGACATCAATTATTCAAAATATGTTCCTATAGCTTCACGTTTACGATACGAAACACGTTTTAATGTAAGATTATTTATTTTTTGTATATGTAGGTTCTAGTTGAAAGTGACAGCGACGATGAAAAAAGTGCACACAACATTGAAATATCCAGTTCACTACTAGCTCAAATCCTGCGACATATGACTTGCTAGTAGCCCAGTCTAGTTTAACTTTGCCCAATCAAGAATCATCTCCGGAATCAGGCATACTGGCAACACTGGTTCATTTGATAATGTAAGTTTTTAAACTGGTATTTTAGATTTATATAGCCTCTGTCAAATCAGGATGAAAGTCATGCATGAA